CAACCAGCAAGATGTTATCCAGGATCTACAGATCCGAAATGCCCAAGACCGACACCCCCGTCAACAACAGAACCAGCCAGATGTTATCCGGGATCTACGGACCCTAGATGTCCAAGACCAACAGCTCCACCAACCACAGCACCAGTCAGATGTTATCCAGGTTCTACAGATCCCAGATGTCCACAAACTACGCCTCAACCTTCAACTCCGCCATTGTGCTATCCAGGTTCAACAGACCCAAGATGTCCAAGGCCATTACCGCCCACAACTAAAAGACCCCCGGCAACTTATTTACCTCCAGCAACACAACCACCAAGTTGTTATCCCGGATCTACAGATCCCAGATGTCCCAGACCGACACCCCCACCAACCACAGAACCAGCCAGATGTTATCCAGGATCTACGGACCCTAGATGTCCAAGACCAACACCTCCGCCAACCACACAACCAGCAAGATGTTATCCAGGATCTGCAGATCCCAGATGCCCCAGACCGACACCCCCACCAACCACAGCACCAGTCAGATGCTATCCAGGTTCTACAGATCCGAGATGTCCACAATCTACGCCTAAACCTTCAACTCCGCCATTGTGCTATCCTGGTTCAACAGACCCAAGATGTCCGAGGCCATCGCCGCCCACAACTACAAGACCCCCGGCAACGTATTTACCTCCAGTAACACGACCACCAAGTTGTTATCCCGGATCTACAGATCCCAGATGTCCCAGACCGACAACCCCACCAACCACAGAACCAGCCAGATGTTATCCGGGATCTACGGACCCTAGATGTCCAAGACCAACGCCTCCGCCAACCACCGAACCACCAAAATGTTATCCAGGGTCTACAGATCCGAGATGCCCGAGACCGACACCCCCGCCAACCACAGCACCAGTCAGATGCTATCCAGGTTCTACAGATCCGAGATGTCCACAAACTACGCCTAAACCTTCAACTCCGCCATTGTGCTATCCTGGTTCAACAGACCCAAGATGTCCGCCCCAGCCCGACCCCCCCACCAACCACACAACCAGCCAGATGTTATCCGGGATCTACGGACCCTAGATGTCCAAGACCAACGCCTCCGCCAACCACCGAACCACCAAGATGTTATCCCGGATCTACCGATCCCAGATGTCCCAGACCGACACCCCCACCAACCACACAACCAGCCAGATGTTATCCGGGATCTACGGACCCTAGATGTCCAAGACCAACGCCTCCGCCAACCACCCAACCAGCAAAATGTTATCCAGGATCTACAGATCCGAGATGCCCGAGACCGATACCACCGCCAACCACAGAACCAGCTAGATGTTATCCCGGATCTACCGATCCCAGATGTCCCAGACCGACACCCCCCCCAATCACAGACCCAGCCAGATGTTATCCGGGATCTACAAACTACGCCTAAACCTTCAACTCCGCCATTGTGCTATCCAGGTTCAACAGACCCAAGATGTCCGAGGCCATCACCGCCCACAACTACAAGACCCCCGGCAACGTATTTACCTCCAGTAACACAACCACCAAGTTGTTATCCCGGATCTACCGATCCCAGATGTCCCAGACCGACACCCCCCCCAATCACAGACCCAGCCAGATGTTATCCGGGATCTACAAACTACGCCTAAACCTTCAACTCCGCCATTGTGCTATCCAGGTTCAACAGACCCAAGATGTCCGAGGCCATCACCGCCCACAACTACAAGACCCCCGGCAACGTATTTACCTCCAGTAACACAACCACCAAGTTGTTATCCCGGATCTACCGATCCCAGATGTCCCAGACCGACACCCCCCCCAATCACAGACCCAGCCAGATGTTATCCGGGATCTACAAACTACGCCTAAACCTTCAACTCCGCCATTGTGCTATCCAGGTTCAACAGACCCAAGATGTCCGAGGCCATCACCGCCCACAACTACAAGACCCCCGGCAACGTATTTACCTCCAGTAACACAACCACCAAGTTGTTATCCCGGATCTACCGATCCCAGATGTCCCAGACCGACACCCCCCCCAATCACAGACCCAGCCAGATGTTATCCGGGATCTACAAACTACGCCTAAACCTTCAACTCCGCCATTGTGCTATCCAGGTTCAACAGACCCAAGATGTCCGAGGCCATCACCGCCCACAACTACAAGACCCCCGGCAACGTATTTACCTCCAGTAACACAACCACCAAGTTGTTATCCCGGATCTACCGATCCCAGATGTCCCAGACCGACACCCCCCCCAATCACAGACCCAGCCAGATGTTATCCGGGATCTACAAACTACGCCTAAACCTTCAACTCCGCCATTGTGCTATCCAGGTTCAACAGACCCAAGATGTCCGAGGCCATCACCGCCCACAACTACAAGACCCCCGGCAACGTATTTACCTCCAGTAACACAACCACCAAGTTGTTATCCCGGATCTACCGATCCCAGATGTCCCAGACCGACACCCCCCCCAATCACAGACCCAGCCAGATGTTATCCGGGATCTACAAACTACGCCTAAACCTTCAACTCCGCCATTGTGCTATCCAGGTTCAACAGACCCAAGATGTCCGAGGCCATCACCGCCCACAACTACAAGACCCCCGGCAACGTATTTACCTCCAGTAACACAACCACCAAGTTGTTATCCCGGATCTACCGATCCCAGATGTCCCAGACCGACACCCCCCCCAATCACAGACCCAGCCAGATGTTATCCGGGATCTACAAACTACGCCTAAACCTTCAACTCCGCCATTGTGCTATCCAGGTTCAACAGACCCAAGATGTCCGAGGCCATCACCGCCCACAACTACAAGACCCCCGGCAACGTATTTACCTCCAGTAACACAACCACCAAGTTGTTATCCCGGATCTACCGATCCCAGATGTCCCAGACCGACACCCCCCCCAATCACAGACCCAGCCAGATGTTATCCGGGATCTACAAACTACGCCTAAACCTTCAACTCCGCCATTGTGCTATCCAGGTTCAACAGACCCAAGATGTCCGAGGCCATCACCGCCCACAACTACAAGACCCCCGGCAACGTATTTACCTCCAGTAACACAACCACCAAGTTGTTATCCCGGATCTACCGATCCCAGATGTCCCAGACCGACACCCCCCCCAATCACAGACCCAGCCAGATGTTATCCGGGATCTACAAACTACGCCTAAACCTTCAACTCCGCCATTGTGCTATCCAGGTTCAACAGACCCAAGATGTCCGAGGCCATCACCGCCCACAACTACAAGACCCCCGGCAACGTATTTACCTCCAGTAACACAACCACCAAGTTGTTATCCCGGATCTACCGATCCCAGATGTCCCAGACCGACACCCCCCCCAATCACAGACCCAGCCAGATGTTATCCGGGATCTACAAACTACGCCTAAACCTTCAACTCCGCCATTGTGCTATCCAGGTTCAACAGACCCAAGATGTCCGAGGCCATCACCGCCCACAACTACAAGACCCCCGGCAACGTATTTACCTCCAGTAACACAACCACCAAGTTGTTATCCCGGATCTACCGATCCCAGATGTCCCAGACCGACACCCCCCCCAATCACAGACCCAGCCAGATGTTATCCGGGATCTACAAACTACGCCTAAACCTTCAACTCCGCCATTGTGCTATCCAGGTTCAACAGACCCAAGATGTCCGAGGCCATCACCGCCCACAACTACAAGACCCCCGGCAACGTATTTACCTCCAGTAACACAACCACCAAGTTGTTATCCCGGATCTACCGATCCCAGATGTCCCAGACCGACACCCCCCCCAATCACAGACCCAGCCAGATGTTATCCGGGATCTACAAACTACGCCTAAACCTTCAACTCCGCCATTGTGCTATCCAGGTTCAACAGACCCAAGATGTCCGAGGCCATCACCGCCCACAACTACAAGACCCCCGGCAACGTATTTACCTCCAGTAACACAACCACCAAGTTGTTATCCCGGATCTACCGATCCCAGATGTCCCAGACCGACACCCCCCCCAATCACAGACCCAGCCAGATGTTATCCGGGATCTACAAACTACGCCTAAACCTTCAACTCCGCCATTGTGCTATCCAGGTTCAACAGACCCAAGATGTCCGAGGCCATCACCGCCCACAACTACAAGACCCCCGGCAACGTATTTACCTCCAGTAACACAACCACCAAGTTGTTATCCCGGATCTACAGATCCGAGATGCCCGAGACCGACACCCCCACCTACTACCGAGCCACCCCGATGTTTCCCTGGATCTACAGATCCCAGATGTCCAGAACCACCAACTACAACGCCGTTTTTCTGTCCGTGTCTAACTGAAACTTTACGTACGACAACTCCGAAACCAGTTACACCTCCTATCTGTTATCTGGGGTCTACAGATCCCAGATGCCCCCAGCCAACTACATCTGTCACCTTTCGTCCATCTTGTTATCCAGGGTCGACAGATCCAGAGTGTCCCACTCCATACCCACCTGCAACAAAACCCCCTCCTCCTAAATGTTTTGACGGATCGAAGGATCCCAGGTGCCCAACTCCGAAACCCACCACTCACATTTATCCCAGTACTACGAAATTTGTGTGTTATCCAGGATCAACAGACCCACGATGTCCGAGGCCACCACCGCCCACAACTACAAAACCCCCTGCAACATATTTACCTCCAGCAACACAACCACCCAGATGTTATCCGGGATCTTCAGATCCGAGATGTCCCAGACCGACACCCCCACCAACCACAGAACCAGCCAGATGTTATCCGGGATCTACGGACCCTAGATGTCCAAGACCAACGCCTCCGCCAACCACAGAACCACCTAGATGTTATCCTGGATCTACAGATCCCAGATGTCCAAGACCCACACCCCCGCCAACCACAGAAGCTGCCAGATGTTATCCGGGATCTACAGATCCCAGATGTCCTAGACCGACACCTCCAACAACTACTGAGCCACCGCGATGTTATCCGGGATCTTCAGATCCGAGATGTCCCAGACCGACACCCCCACCAACCACAGAACCAGCCAGATGTTATCCGGGATCTACGGACCCTAGATGTCCAAGACCAACGCCTCCGCCAACCACAGAACCACCTAGATGTTATCCTGGATCTACAGATCCCAGATGTCCAAGACCCACACCCCCGCCAACCACAGAAGCTGCCAGATGTTATCCGGGATCTACAGATCCCAGATGTCCTAGACCGACACCTCCAACAACTACTGAGCCACCGCGATGTTATCCGGGATCTTCAGATCCGAGATGTCCCAGACCGACACCCCCACCAACCACAGAACCAGCCAGATGTTATCCGGGATCTACGGACCCTAGATGTCCAAGACCAACGCCTCCGCCAACCACAGAACCACCTAGATGTTATCCTGGATCTACAGATCCCAGATGTCCAAGACCCACACCCCCGCCAACCACAGAAGCTGCCAGATGTTATCCGGGATCTACAGATCCCAGATGTCCTAGACCGACACCTCCAACAACTACTGAGCCACCGCGATGTTATCCGGGATCTTCAGATCCGAGATGTCCCAGACCGACACCCCCACCAACCACAGAACCAGCCAGATGTTATCCGGGATCTACGGACCCTAGATGTCCAAGACCAACGCCTCCGCCAACCACAGAACCACCTAGATGTTATCCTGGATCTACAGATCCCAGATGTCCAAGACCCACACCCCCGCCAACCACAGAAGCTGCCAGATGTTATCCGGGATCTACAGATCCCAGATGTCCTAGACCGACACCTCCAACAACTACTGAGCCACCGCGATGTTATCCGGGATCTTCAGATCCGAGATGTCCCAGACCGACACCCCCACCAACCACAGAACCAGCCAGATGTTATCCGGGATCTACGGACCCTAGATGTCCAAGACCAACGCCTCCGCCAACCACAGAACCACCTAGATGTTATCCTGGATCTACAGATCCCAGATGTCCAAGACCCACACCCCCGCCAACCACAGAAGCTGCCAGATGTTATCCGGGATCTACAGATCCCAGATGTCCTAGACCGACACCTCCAACAACTACTGAGCCACCGCGATGTTATCCGGGATCTTCAGATCCGAGATGTCCCAGACCGACACCCCCACCAACCACAGAACCAGCCAGATGTTATCCGGGATCTACGGACCCTAGATGTCCAAGACCAACGCCTCCGCCAACCACAGAACCACCTAGATGTTATCCTGGATCTACAGATCCCAGATGTCCAAGACCCACACCCCCGCCAACCACAGAAGCTGCCAGATGTTATCCGGGATCTACAGATCCCAGATGTCCTAGACCGACACCTCCAACAACTACTGAGCCACCGCGATGTTATCCGGGATCTTCAGATCCGAGATGTCCCAGACCGACACCCCCACCAACCACAGAACCAGCCAGATGTTATCCGGGATCTACGGACCCTAGATGTCCAAGACCAACGCCTCCGCCAACCACAGAACCACCTAGATGTTATCCTGGATCTACAGATCCCAGATGTCCAAGACCCACACCCCCGCCAACCACAGAAGCTGCCAGATGTTATCCGGGATCTACAGATCCGAGATGCCCACAAACTACGCCTAAACCTTCCACACCGCCACTGTGCTATCCAGGTTCAACGGATCCACGATGTCCGAGACCACCGCCCACAAGTACAAGACCCCCTGCAACGTATTTACCTCCCGCAACACAACCACCCAGATGTTATCCAGGATCTACAGATCCCAGATGTCATAGACCGACACCTTCATCAACTACCGAGGCACCGCGATGCTTTCCTGGTTCAATTAGACCGACACCTCCAACAACTACTGAGCCACCGCGATGCTTTCCTGGTTCAACAGATCCAAGATGTAAATCTATAACCACATCATCTCCTATCTGTTACCCAGGTTCAACTGATTCGAGATGTCCGAAACCTAGTCCACCAACTACCTACACTCTACCACATACGACACCACATCCTCCAACATGTGAATGTCTAACCAAACCCCCAAAATGTTTTCCTGGTAGCCAAGATCCCAGATGTCCTCAAACAACAACTCCCAAGATTCTAACACCTCCAATCTGCTACCCTGGTTCTACAGATCCTAGATGCAAACCATCATGTTTCCCTGGATCTACTGATCCTCAGTGTCCACAAGAACCTCCTCTCCCTGGATGTTATCCAGGTTCACCAGACCCAAGATGTGGAAGTCCATCGAAACAACCACCAACATATTTACCTCCACAAACACCAAAATCACAGTGTTATCCTGGTTCTAAGGACCCAGAATGTCAACCAGATGTTCCACCTCAATATCAATGTTATCCAGGATCTCCTAACCCTCAGTGCAATGAGATTGTTACAACTCTGACACCAACTACACTGAAACTCCCAGGCTGCTACCCTGGATCATCTGACAAGAACTGTACTAGTGAAGGATCAGCTTATTATGAGACTGAATTAAAACCACCAAAGTGTTTCCCTGGATCTAACGATCCAAAGTGCAAACAGGCTGAACCACCTATTCAACAAATACCAACAGATGGTAGTGCAATATTCCCAGTACCCATTCAGCCATTAACATCTGCTCCCATCAGGCCATCTCAACGTGAAGATGGGGATTTCCACGGGAAAGATCAAGATCCACGTTATCACGCATTTCATTCATGTAAGTACTGTGCCAAGAGGTAGCACACAGTTCAATACTGACACATTGTAAAACCTCGTGTATTGGATAAAAATTCTTAAAGACACACTTTATGTAAAATGTAAACTGGGGTAGCTCAGTGGGTAAAACAGCGTGCTACTAAAACAGCATGACTAGGCAGGGATAGAACCTTTCTCTTCACCACCTCATGTGGACCAAATTTGGGGCTTAACCAGTGACTAGTCAAATACGTACTGGGTGTTATCTCTGCAGGGGTTAACACATAGTAAGTTTGAAGCTCACCACTTACTATTTATCTTAAATATATTAAAATAAACTGTTCTAAAATCATTCAAATGAAGTCACACATATCATTACTCAGGAAATTTGAAGCCAATAAAAATGGATGGTGAAATCCAAAGTAATGTAATTAAAATATTTTATAAACAGCACATTATTAATTTAAATGAGATAATTTTCACAATTTTATTGTGTTATTTCCAGGGTTATACGAACCAAGGAAACCCTCAAACAGACGCCACTTTGGTAAACGGGATACCACACAAAATAACATACGACTTGCAGGTGATATTAATGAGCACAAGAGGATAGAAAAGCGCGAAGTTCAGGAGAAACAAATAGTGTCTATAACTTTGGGTGTGCGCGGACTGATGGTCGGATCTGACGCAGATTTTCAATCACACGGACTGACAAAGAGAGAGATTGGTGCGTCAACCAAGATGAAGCCTCAAGCTACGACCAAACTGAAATCCAATGAATTTCCTTCTTCTTTTTTACAATCCTTAACAATTCTAAGTGCAATCATAGGTTCAGCCATCGTCATGCTACTCATAACCTCTGCAGTGTACTTCCTTGCTCAAAGACATGACAGAAGAACGCAGGTGATTTCTGTTACCCCGCAACTGTTAAATAAATGACAAGAAAAATTCCAAAGTGGAATAAGTGAAAAATGTAGGGATCTTCTTTGTTAGTATGTCCCAACAAAATTCATTCAGACAAACAACACAAATAAAAGTCTCTTTATGTAATACAAACTAAAACCGAACATCACACATTTCGTTAACAAAAAACTGCATGATGGAACGCACCAAATAAAGATGTACTGTCCGTCACATAATAAAATTAACACGGGACTCACGCACGTCTCTGAAGACAAACTTTCCAGTAACGTATAGAAGCTATCATTATAAACCAGCGTAATTATTACAAGCCATAAATCAATGTGGAGTGGTCTTTGATGTGGAATCTACGAGGAACAGTTTTCAATTCAGAACATTCAGATTTCCTAAAACTATTTAATAAAATCTTCTTCAAGATACAGACATACAACAAAGCAATGCAAGGGATGGCCATCTTGTGGGTTACTGTGCTGCATAATCTGGTAGAATTTTTCCATTGCTACAGAGGTGTTTACTGCCTCCATCATCAGGGCCATTTAAAATGTAAACTTCTACCAATCTACACAGTCTATAAACCCAAAAGGCAGCCATCTTCATGAGCAGCTGAAATTTCACCTACCACTTCAAATGTGAGTCCTGGATTTCACCAGCAAAGACCATTTTGGGGAACAGGAAGACGAGAAGTGAGTCGTGAAAGCATGTAACTTCTGTGTGTGTGGGGTACAGAAACTATATAAATGCCAGAACCTTACCAAAGCTTGGTGCATGGTCCACACATCTGCGAGTGGAAGGGTACTACAAGTAATGAGACAGGCGTGGCGGCTATAAGATCCCATATGATACGTCTCATGGGCATAGAACTGGATCCTAAAAAAGAAATGCTGATTTACAAACACAGAACCTCATTTGTAGGAATTAAGGAAAAATCATCATTACTATAAATGAAAATCGTAAATAAATTGTTTAAATGCCGGGGTTTGACGCTGCGGTCTCATGCCATGAATTTAAATTAAAATACTGCAAAGAAAAAACTGTTCAGCAAAGGTCAGTGAAGAATAAAGAATTAATTTGACTTTGCTAAAATCATCATCAACTGTAAAAATCTTATCAGATTCACTACATTACTTAATACTTGTTATAAAAATGTGATTCTCTGTGTAGAGATAAAAAACCATAACCTTCCAAATCCCTTCGGCTAATAAAATCATAATCTTTATAAAAAATTTACAAAAATATTAAGTGAGGTTATTGTTTGTTGGCTGGATTCTAATCACAATCGGGAAACATAAAAACTGATAAAATATTTAATTTAAGAACTGCTTTTGTAAATTACAAGACAAAACTACAAACTGGTATGATCCAAAATTCCATGCCCATGAAGTACGGTCCCCCTCGACTGAAATGATGGTTACTGACAATAACTGAATATTATGTATTTTTTAAAACATGTACACATTATGGAACATTCAAATGTTTATGTACATTATTATACCTGTTATGTACTGTTCTGAACAAATGTGCTGCATGTTACTGGCACAAAACAAACCTAACCTAACAAGGATGATTTAACATGCAGCTACAAGAGTGACAAGAATTTTTAAATAAAATTAAATATAGTATCATATTGGCTGCACTGCTGTTCAAAACTTTCTAGAAGGCTACATAAAGAGACTTCTCAAGAAACAAATATCAGAAGAAAAGCCATATAAAAATATTACGCAGGCCCCATATTTGGGTCTAAAGACGAGTACATACAGTTACAGCCGTATTGACGGAAATACAAACGAAGGAGCTTAGTAATTCGTGATATTATCGTATATTATTAGGGAAATAAAGTTAAGAAGAATGGGATTGGTTTGAAGCGAATAAACCGCATGAAAGGGCTAAAAGAAAAGGAAAATATTAGATCGACTCTTAAATAAATATCGTGCTTACAAGTGGATTGGATTCAGCTGGATCAAGATGTAATCCAATGGCATGCACTTGTAAACACAATAATGAACCTTTAAATTCCTTATAAAATGGACTGGTTAGCAGTCATCGGTCTCTCAATGACTGTTCCATGGAGTCGGTTCGGCCATAAAAGCATTCGATATACGTAATATAAATGAAATCCTCATATCACAGGAGATAAATAAAAAACATGATGATAATTGTACGAGCTACAGACTTCAAGTCCAAGTACACATTTCTTTATGAATTTAAAGCCACATCCTCCGATTATATTCTGTAAACTGGCTTAAATCCTCCAGTGCCGAGGGATTAATAATAAAAAGTGTAGGCATTTACATTCCTAAACAGCATGGGACATTTTTAAATTTGAAGGCAGAGGACCTAGGTACAGATGAAAGTACAATATTAAAATGGACCTCTGAGAAATATGAAGTGGAGGGTGTAGATGGGATTCATTTGGCTCAGGGCACAGACTAGTGCGCATTGTTTACAAAACTTTTGGTTCCATGAAAGGTGGGATATTAGTTTAGTGCTCAATGGTAAGACAACTGTGAATAAGGAATTAGAAACAATTTGAAAGAAAATGGCTGTGCTCTTCCTTAATGCGATATACAAGCATTTTCATGGAGGAACTGAGAATAAACAAGAAAAACAGTCAGAATAGCCAGTCCGCAGACTGAGAATTGAATCCAGGACCTTCTGAATATGACGTACTACGTATATTAATTATAAACTCTGTGTTATGCAGTAACAACACCTGACACAGGAAGGTAACGCTATTGTATCCTAACGCGCCACAGTACTCAAGGCCAAATCACACATACGAGTTGGTGTGCATCATGATATCAAACACATGAATCCAACTATACTTTGGGTACTGACACCCTGGTATCAGAAGTTAGGAAATGGTAAGGAACAGTCTAGGAAATTCTGGGAAGCAAACATTCAACATATCCCCAATGATCACGTTCAGAAAACAACTTTAAAAAAAATGCCTCTCACTTCAGTCTGCTTTCAAGACCAGATATTGGTTCACTGCATTTAAATTACTCTAAATACCTGAACAGACACAATTAATATGGTCTATTTACTTTCAGCACAAATTTCATAAAGTAGTTCTTCAATGCAGTTCTTTTGAGAACATTAAATAATCAACAGAGTCCAGAAATCCAGTCTGAAATATATTATCAGAACCATTTAGAACTATTATATCCTTTGGTCTAGGACTATATGCGAAAGCATCCGAGTTCAAGCTTCGGAGATTATGCGTAACTTTATTAAATTCAAATGTACAAGGCACTCATGAAAAACATTTGTCAATGAACATGTATTGCCCAAGAGTCTACAGTTGCTATAGTTACATGCAGCAAAACCACATATGAATTAAATATCAGTTATAAAATACACAACATTCTTTTATTTATAGTATCTAGCGGTAGGCCCAAAATTACGAGTTACAGATATTAAAGACGTAATTTTGATAAAAGTTTGGTGTACTGTGTACTACATAAAGAAAATACAGATTTTCCACACAGATCGGACTTTTTAGTCCTCCACATTGCCTTTGTGGGCAAATCCGAGACTTACAATGGAAACAATGATTCATTCCCACATCCTAAACAAAGTCACTTAAACATAAACCAAGCTTCCTTTAGCACAACAGGGCAAAAAACAGAAAAATTCAAATAAACAATAATCTCTCTCTTCACTTAATTAGAGTGTAAAGATCTCGCATATAATTTATATTCCCTATTCTTTCAGAAGTGATAAATGTAAATGTTAAAAACTAGTTTATGTACAACAGAAGAAACAAAACTCACATTCATAATTATGTCACTTATTCCAACATAGTTCACGACGGCATAATAGTATTATTGCAGGTCATTAAAAATATAACAAAACTAATTTTTAAAAAGACAACTTATCAATTACTTACAATTTGATTCTTTCAAATGTGTTAAAAAACACAAAATCTATGAGCAAAAACCTATTACGAAACAATTCTGTTCATATTACAGTTAAATTAATGAGTGCAGTAAGATGCCATTTAAAACTGATATAAAAATAACACAAGTCATGACGATAAACACATAAAAATGTTTAGAAGCTGCTCACTTCCACAGGGGTAGAAATAAGAACTCGATACACCAATAATTAAAGCTAGTCTTAGCTTTCAAGTTAAGGTTTATTATACATACCAAGCTTTACTGTGTCTTGCAAATGACAGAACTCTTGCATGCTCATTTCCAGCTAACCAACATTTTGAACCCCGTTCCCAAGTGACTTTCAGTTCCTCAGCTGTTCTTGACGCAGATGGGACAAGTGTGGCGCTGCGTCTGTCTTTCAAGGCACACGACGTGGTATGAATGACCACAGCGAAATGTCATCACGCCACCATCTTTCATAAGGACAAGCGAGCCCAGGGGCAAAGAACAAAAGGGACAGTTTCCATCGACCATATTGACTTTCACGCCCCAGTGATACTTCTCCGAGGCAATGGGAAGTTGTACGTGCTTCCCCAAATCTTCTTTTAGGGCCTCTTCTACAGACGGACAAACCTACAAGTTTCATAAGCACAGTAAGACTCGGGAGATCAAATTTATTGGTTTCGTTAAACAAAAAGATTTTGTTATATTCAGTTAATTGGGATACGCACACACAGCGGCTGCAATTCAAAATGGATGATAATTCTAACTTTGCATTCAGTATAAAACTTGCAGTTTTCACAGCTGTGAACATGTGGATTGTAGTCTTCTGGGTTGCGTCACTCTACTTTTGTACGCGGTTAACGATGTTTCAGAAAAATGCATTGCCTCGGCCTGATGATGGAGGCAATATAATTCTCTGAATTGTTGGTAACCACCTACAAAACTACAGAGACACAACCCAGAAGCTCGCAATCCACATCTGTGTTCAAAGCTTCATATATGTAATTAATTCCAAATTTATTTCGGCATTTCCAAGTTAAACCACATAAATTGCTAAGCACGTATGGGACAGACCGAATTTAAAAAAAATAAAAATAGTGTTCATCTTTCATACCGTGCATGAAACATGGATAATGTATTAGTGGGGGATGGGAGAAAAGGAGACAGTAGTTAGTGTATCTTTTCACCGTCGATAAGTTTTGGAGTATCTATTTTAAATCTAAGGGCAAACACATTTGTAAATCATACAAAATTACATCATATTTCTAACAAAAATAAATACAAAATTTTGGCTGAAAAATTCACGACAGACAACTCGTTCGGACTGGGAATACGTTAAAATAGATCTTGGGGAAATGGGTTATAGGGATACTAACTGGTACTATGAGGGGCTAGTGTCATTTCATAACAAGAAATATCTCAGGAGATGCCCTGCAAATAACTCACCACAGGTGAAAACAAGGCAGTTTTGGCCGCTTCCTTGGAACAAGCATTCAGCATAGCAATTACTTCATTTCTCAAACCTCGTGCATGATTATCAATTATTGCTGAATATATGCATGACTGGAAAAACCTACAATACACAGAAAAATGTAACTACAAAGCAGAAGATGGCCGTCTTCTGGGTTGTTGCGCCGTGTCGTATGGTACAAGTTTATCGACATTTCAGAGGTCCTTGCCGCCTCCATCATCACACTGATGATGGAGGCAGCAACGATATGAAACGTTGGTAAACTTCTACCATACAACACGGCGCGACAACCCTGAAGACGGCCATCTTTGGACTCACCACCGTGAAAACCTCAAATCCTAACTATAAAATATGTAAAATACATTACACTGGCTGAAGTATTTTTCCTCAGTTAGATTTCTCTTTAAAAAAAATTCTAAAATTACATAATTCCTTAAATTAACCACACAAATTTCTAAAATTTGGTGAATTACAATTTAAAATGCCTGGTATCATTATTCCAAAGGAGGAAATATCTTATGTGAGCAGAGGTACCTTCACGGAATATTAAAAAAGAGTTTATAACATGACACTATTTTTGTTGTATTTGACAGTAACATAAATACCAGTCAAACTGAATAATTCTTGAGCTACCTCAAAAACTTGTTACCAACCTAACACCCAGTTCTCCTGGTGCAATATGTGATGCATATTTTGTCATGAGCTGTACCGCTTCATGAGGACCCAAAGCTTTCACCATCAGAGGTCCTACAGAAGACCACAACATTCCTCCCAGCTGATCCTTGGATGTTGCGAAAACAGAACCGCAGTTAACACAAGTGCCAGAACGGAATACGGCAAGAAGGTCGAGCGTCCGTGACCAAGCAGCATGGTCCATGTTAGGCAGCCACTTTTCAAGCTCCAATGTGTCACCTAAATGAATGATGAGCGGAAGAACTGAACTGAATCCCCCATCTTCTTTACGAGGTAATATCAAGTGCCACAAAGATGGCACTTTCTTACACAGTTCTATGAGACGTCCTTGGTTACTGTCCCAGTAATATGATACTAGCACTTTTGCCAGGTCTGGATACAGCATTGTTTTCGAACAGATCACAGGAAAGCCGCAGACACAGGATCCATTTGCCACGGAATTTACCTCCTCAAATGCTACGGTGGCATATAACCTCAGATGGTCGTCAGAAAATACTTTTGACAGACAGTCACTGCTGGCCGGCATCTTCTCCAAATAAGAAAGAAATAACGAATAACAGTGGGACTTTGCGGATTCTCTGTTTCCATTACTTTCAGCATACTGAAGGAGTCTCATTATAAGGTACCAGACGTCTTTCACGGATACCCGTTTGCTCAGCTTACAGCAAGTCTCAACACGCTCCACGCCGAACATAAAAAATATAGTACTCAGAAGGAGAGGAGGAGGCATTTCATCATATGCAGCCTGTCCTGATGTACCGTCACCCGTGCAATACAAGTTACCTTCCTCATATCGATCAAGAATTACACATAACGAGAAGTAATAACAAGATAATTCTGATGTCTGTACATACTGCAACATGAGCGAAGGATCAAACAGTTCTGAGAAAATAACAAGAATATTGCTCAAAATAATATCAAGTTTCACAGCATCTTCTGAATAGAAATCCTTCAAATGCTCTGGAAGCCGGTCTGTATGTTGTAGGCGTACGTCTTGAACTCTGTTTTGCAGCCATGTAATAAGAGATTTTGTTTTCAGAGCAAGGTGAAATTCGTCACGAATAATTTTCACCGTGTCATCAGCAAAATAATAAGCAAAAGGAAAAGTACCAGTTACGTTAAACTCAGACTTCAAATTACTTAGGCGACCTAGTTTTGAAATTTGCACGGTACCATCATCCACGATATTGAAGTCCGTCTTCAGCAAAGCTCTGATAAATAGTTCATAAATGGTACAAATAGCATTCAGTAATTCACACACCAGTTCAGACTTATCCGCTCCACTTTGCTCGCACGTAACGAAGAGGTTACAGAGATCAGTGATATTTGATACATCAAGTACAGGAAAATGTGACTCTCTGGGTCTTGACTTATCACCATAAGAATGTACAAGTTCCATGTGTTCATTTGAGCATTCTTCATCCAGAACAGCATCCTGGTAGTCGGATGGTCTAATATCGAAAGGTTCGAGAACTGTGTCCTGATTCAAGAGTTTCATTTTACCTTCTAACATTTTCCACTTCTCTTTCAGTGACTTCCACGACACAGAATATTTCAGCTCTTTCAGTACCTGAACACCTTCTGGATGGAACGCTGAATCAGAAGAAGAGAGCGAATCGCCCGATTTAGAAACCAGAGCATCGCCGCTGGAATCATGCTTGGCGCGTAATCTGTGATAAGGTTGAGTACCATCTTCTGTAGACAAGCCATTTGAGCGGAATGCAAGTTCAGGTAGAGACGTCACACTAACGGACTTCATTTCCCGCCGACTTGCTCCATTTTTCTTCCTCCGACTACTTTCGGGCGACGCGCTTAACGATCGTGACTTCTCTTTCGTCGACCGAACGCAAAGATGCGACTTTAATGATTCGCCATTTTCTCCTTCCTTGCTGCAAAAGAACTGCTTATTTTCTACAAGAAAAATTCCAGACCTCAGTCTCTGGACATTCTGTTTCTCTCGAGCAAATTTTCTGATTTCTTGCAGCAGAGGATGGATTGTTCTCGCTACTTCACTGTCTTTGAGTTTAGTCCCAAGATCTGCCAGAATTTGAAGCTTACTAGATGCTGTAGCCAACTCCATTAGGTACTTATGATGCAGTCCGCAGAGATGAGCACAGAGAGCATACTCCTTACGCAAATACAACCTAACTAGGACCCTATCCAATGGCAACATCAACAGAGCGTGCATGCGTCCTGATGCCGTCCATATATATACTGCATCATCCAGTGTTTTAGCATCAACAATATCTTTAAAACTATTATTCCACAGTATAACACTTCCCTTGTCAGGATCAAGGATATAGATCCCATCCCTTTTGAAAGTAAATATAAATTTCTTTGCAATTATAAACAGTTTTGTAAAATTAAAGGACTGCCGGCCGCATTCTTCATTCTGGGTAGCTTCTAATACGCTACCACCAACACGCTGCATGTCATGAGGTCCAGTAATGTTGGTAGGAGGAATGGCAAGAGCTTGTTTGAAGTGATGCGTACTGAGAACTGTGCCATCGGTTTTTACCTTCCACAAGCGAGAACCGGGTCTTGCGCAGAACATTTTCAGATTCTGCAGTCCTTCACAGCACGCAAACTTCTCGTCTGCACTCAGCGAGCTGAAAGCACCGCCCGTCTTTGAACCCCGATGCTCGTACCTAGACGGCAGGTCACGGCGATCTCCCGTCACGTAGAAACATGCCCCATACTCTCCCTCCCTCAGTTTATGGCCGATCTGGCGGTACCGTTCCTTTACCGTGTCACAGACGTAACAGCGAGACAATGTCGAGATCAACAGCAATTCTGAGCACCAGTCTAACTGAATAATACGAGAATCCAATCGCATCAATATGAAAGATGGCGTCTGGAACATGTTTTTCCCCTGAAATGCACACATTTGTTTCACTAAATATACAATATCAAAAAAAAATATCCGTTTATAAAACTGAATATTCGAAGAAAACACAATGGCAATAAATGATCCCTCATCGCGTAAGTTTATACGTGCAGGTTATACAAATTCTCAACCCGTAACCCGGAGTAGATCACACAAATACAATCTAAGTAGCTTTCACAAGTAACTTAAAATTAAGACGCTCAATCTCAAACTACTCACCGAGTGAACTTTAAGCAAAGGAAGTCGGACGTTCTGAATACGATAATCAGCTAATATTGCCTAAGGAAATGCAACATTAAATTTTATGAAATGACCACCTTGCACTCTGTTGTGTTCCAACTTTTCTTCTGATTGGTGATATTTTAGGTTCTCACAATAAGTATAAAGATATCTGTGCTTTTGGATGTTATACATGTAGTCTAACAGATACTTAATCATGTTTCAGGGGAGCTTATTGTCTCCATCATTACCATGACTGACTTCACAGCACAAATCAGCCATCCTTTTCTTTAATTTGAATTTTTTTATTTCATGGCAAAATGTCAACTCTTTAGGTTATGTGAGGTCAATACATTTAATTAAAATAAAACACTTGAATGAAGCCATTATTAAATATTGTGCTCATCTGATTGGATGGAAAAAGACAGCATAAAATCAATCTGATAAACATTAAGTATGTAACATTACGCTGCCGAGTTCTCACCACAAAAGCAGATGAACTGATGACTGATATTCTTCCCGAATCATCTCCAACAAACAGCTCGCTCCTACACGCATTCCACTGCAACGCCGTAACTTCTGAGCCGTGGTGCTCGGCAGACGTCTGTACACGGCGAAATTTTAGAGACTGGCTTTGTTCTAAGATGCATACGACTCCCTTCACAGTGGCAAAAGCAAAGTACTTTTCATCTGGGGAAACTGACACTTGCGTTATCGAACCTTCCTGCGGAATTTAATATTGGATGCATAAGAAGTATGTCAACTGTTCAGTTGAAGAGTACAAACAATTATATGTTTTTTTTATTTAAAATACAATACATTTTCAAAAAAATATTCTTGGGCAACAAGCCATGTCAATTGCAGATAACAGCCCAACGTTTCCGTCACACGGCAAACGACACGGTCGCCTCAAGGCTCTGTTTAGAAAAATGTTAGGTTATGTCACATGTTGAGTGAATGCCAATTAAAAAATTAAGAAGTAAAACATTACCTTATTTGGAAGAAGATGAAGAAAAATGCATGGCTCACGTTTGAAAACATACAGCCCCCCACTTGTGGCACCAAAAATTAGGAAGTTTCTAGAGACGGTGAAGCACGTGTACTGAGACAGAAACAAAAGGTGATTAATAATTTTCCATGGATATCTCATCAGACAGGAAAAATGAACACACATTCCTTGTTGAAATTAAATAATTTGATGTAGAGGACAATCATGTGTAACTGAAACATTTGGTAACCCCTGCCTTAAACAAGGTCTGTATCTACCTTAATTCTGTGTGTTGATTTCAGTGGACCAAATATTGCATTGAGGTTGTCAATTTCTGTCAGCACAAACAATTCATTTGCCATTTTACTGACATGAACATCATCCCTCCGCACACAGCACGCGTTTCAGAAACCGGACTTCAGCATTTTGAAGATTCTGCAAAAGTAAATAAAAAGAAAACTAAATTTTGGAAGAGAACCTGTGAAACAAAAAGAGAAATTTTATACATGAATAAGAAAGAAATTAGAATATTAATTTATTAGAAAAAACTCTCACCAAAAATGACTGCATCACAAGTTCTTTCCAGAATTTCTTGTTAAGGCTTTGATACCAATCTCCAGTTTATTTCATTTATATGGACATGTGGATCAACACTCTTCAATTGTGGTTTCTGTACAATTAATATTAACCAACAATATACTTAATAGGAGTGAAAAACATTCTAATTTCAGCAGTTAAACTTTATGTTATTACCTGTACTCAACAAAGCAAAAGTCTAATTTTGAAAACTGTAGAAGAAAATGATGAAATGTAAAGAAAAGATAAAACCCGTCCCCTAGTGATTACCACTAGCTTCACTGTTGAGTGAAAGTCTTGGATATCAAAGGATGTAGTAGGCCTACAATGAGCAATACAGAATCTGGTAAAATGTAAAATAACAGATCATAGGTAGAATTTTAGGTTATAACCACAGTGAGTATGAAGATGACTTCTGCCATCAACAGATCATGGGGATTAGGGCCTAGAACCTGTTTTTATTACAGACAGATGCACGTTCAACATGTGAATTGAGAAAGAGTAAAAAAAACAACCATTAAATGGTGTTAATTTGCATGGAATGGGGATAGAATGAAGGGCTGCTTAATACCAAACATTTATTAATAAATTAACGCCCTCTGAACACATAATGGCCTCAGCCTTGGAACAACTAATCCTGAATATTAAAATTATATGCATAGTACGTCCAAATAATATTCAAAGTTCTTTCTCACAACTTGCATGTACCTATTCAACGTACAATACCTGATGCATGCCACAATTTCGTATGCACGAGAATTCTTCCACACAGATTCACGGGCATTATACGAAATATTTTACGCTTTGCTTGATGTGTACTGGTAGTGTCAGGAGGTCACAAGATCAGGAGGCTGACCACATGTCACATGTTAACCATGTGTTATCTTCGTGCTAAGGACACTAGTAACGCATAATTATGTAACAGTCTGCTCGGTATATACATCCCTCTTGTAATTTATATACATCTAAATTAATAGAACATATGAACAATGAAATAAATACACTTGTGTTTAACCTTTACAAAAATTTTGCACTACTAACAAAGCCATTAGAATCTTCAATTCCAATACAAATGGCAATGGCAGATATGACTGCCATCTGTGGACAAAGTATGTTACTAGTGTTAAAAATGTTGCCTGCCTTCCAGGCTAGCGGAAAAGTTTCTCAAGCCAGCAGTTTAGACAAAATTGCCACAAATATTATCCTCTTTCGGAAAAGTAAACTGGAAAACCGAAACGCATTATTAACATCAATACTGCTGTAGAAATTATTATACAGAGTCCAAGTTAAATTTCTTACAACTAATTTGAGAGACAAAATGAAGCCAAAATCACAATCCATATTTCTGATTTATCACACAGTTTGAAAATTGAAGACTCGGAGAAGGTCGTGGGAAAGGACTCAGTTGGCAGGAAAATTAGCACATCCAAAACGTTTATCCTGTTTGGCCAAAGAACGGTGCATTCCCTTAAGTGCTAATTTAAATCTACTAGATTTACCAATACAAATAAATGCTGGAAAAATAATTCAGAATAGAGTATATTATTACATTTCCACATAACATTTTTGAGTATATTTTTTTTTCCAAATTCTACTCTGTACACTGACGGTGTTAAATTACATTTTTGAGTAATTAAACTCTGATCGGAGCAACTCCCTTGTACTTTGAATTATGAAAACAATCAATTCGTCTCATCGTGTTCGTCTAAAAAATAACCTAACCCCAAGAACCTCAACAATGTTGATCAAAACTGGTACGTTAGAAAATACACAAAATATCCTCAATCATTGTACAGAGACAAAATATAATTAAAATATATGTACACTGACAAAGTTAAAAGTAGCTGTAAATTCCAGGCTGTCGGAAGAAACGTTATGACTCACCTCCGAACGCTATAAATCTTTCTCGATACGATCCAGGAAGACAAAAAAATAAACTACTTGAGTCATAATAAGTGTGTGTCTGTACACGCAAACACTCTGCATACCTGAAGTTCTTCACTAGGAACTTCTAACATTTTTCTTCGTGTTCTCCCTTAACCCCTCTTCCATATGGGGGATCGTTCTACAGACGTTGTCACAAAAATACCCCAAAAATAAAATTCTAATGGGTGTAAGAACAGGTAAGTACGCTGGCCGTTAAACACGGCTCACTACTGTCAACACGATGCCTTCCAAGCTCTGTATAAGCAATGCAAAGAATTTCATCTACAGCAAATGACCGACAGACGAACACGAATCAACTAATACGCGTTTAAACTTAGTTATAAAAAAATATATATAAGCGCAAAGAAGCCAATCAGAATGTCTGAATCAGGAATTAAAAGTATTATCACACAGGTGACGTACAGAGCAGCTTAACCAAAATGGATAGTTTTCAGTTAATGAAACAAGGATGATTTGAATTTCGGACATGAACCGTTCTTTGTTTCACCCGCTCGCCACGGTGAGGCACAGGACATGAGCGGGACCTGAAATCACACAAAACAAACGAACACACATATGTAACAACAGCAAGAAAGATAAATTACAATTAATACAATAATGCAGACCGTACCTGTGTGTTTGACGTCTCATCTTCTGCTTCACAGTCTTGGCTTCAAATATTGGTCTACGATGAAACGTTGATGTAAATTGTAAGTGTAAAATTCAAAAGACGAAAATCGTTGACGGTTCCTGCAGCTGGAAATCCGGCCCAGACGTCTCGTATTAAAACGATTCCGCATTAAATTCGGAAATACAACGGAAATTAAGTCACCGCTTATTTTGCTGAAAACGCTCCACTGAATTCGAAAATGAAATGACGAAAATGCCATCCGATCCTTGGCGTTGCTCTTAATTAACTTGATGCTTACGAAAAGAAATTCGTCAACTTAACTGAGATTAATTTGTTGTTTTATCACGTCAGCAAAGCTTCCACTTATGCAAAATCGCAAGTTCGACTGCACCCTGCAACTTTAAATGGCACGCGAAAAGCTTTTTCGAGAATGCTCTACACTCGGCTGCAAAAATAAGTTGCCACAGCAGATGTAACGACAGAATAACACTTCTCGATCGTTGAATCTTATTGAGTTCACTGTACAAAAAGTTAGACTGACAGCATGTTATAAAAAACATAATTTTTGCACTTCTTAAATTCTAGTTAATATACATGACATCCTTAGAGATTCAGACAATCTTTCAACAGTGAAGTGAAAGACTGATAAAACGCAAAATTACATTTTGCGTTTTATTGAATCTTTAGCCAAGCAATGCGAGTAATTCGCGGACAGAGGTTTCAAAAAGTCCTTTTTTTTATTTCTGTCCTTCTCGCATTGATATCATTGGTCGTGCCGACCGAACCTGTCAAGTTGTGCACCCTGTGATTAAAAAAATCGTGGCGGGCCCCGCGTCAAATACAAGTTGCCTGGCACGGACCGACGTGGTTATCGTTGACCAGCCTGGGGCCGGGCCGATCTGATAAGACCGTGCCTATGCTATGGCGTACAAGATTTGCCGCGAGCGCCCAGCCCATCCTCCAGCGGATGGGTCCTCGTCCACTAGGGGTTCGGCCGACACTGGTTTTTGTCTTCTTAACGATACCGTTTGTACGTTGCTCCTCTTGCCGTGGTCCATGGTTCGATGTCTGCCTCGTCTGAATCTGGACACTGAAGTCTTCAACTGCATATGGTGCCTCCACTGGAACGTTGCAGCCGTTGGCACAACACAACACAACACAGCATAGCACAGCACTGAATCACAAACACTTTGAGAGTCGTTGCATTCGAAGACGCACTATAAATTCACGAATGAACACTTTCTCCGCTCGTCTAAAGACCTTGGATTGAAATTCACTCAAGTGAACAGACGAAAAATGCCATCCGCGAACAGAAAACTAGTAGCCTGCCTGGCACAGAGATAATTTAATATGATCGTGCTACGGGGTCCTCTACTTATTTTACTTTGGGGGGGGGGAATAAATAAAACGATCCTCAAAGAGATTACTCTTTTATTTGAATTTACCTATGTCAGAAATTTTAGTTCTGTCAAATATATTATTGATAAATCAAGAAAGTTGCGACTGGCTGGTCGACTGGATGTTATGTTTAACATAATATGCGCAATAAATTTCAAAATTTGGCGTCTTTAAAAGCGTATATTTGCAAGGAAGACAATTAAACAGCCAATGATAGACAAATCTGTAACCGATATTTAAAAATCGCTGTTGCCAGCAATGTAGTACAAATACTGCGTTCCACACACTGCTGGTTCCATTCGTAAGGTAATCCGATCGAATCCCGGCCTGGTGCCTTCTGCTTTTACTTATGTATTGTGTTTTAATTTAGTTTCTCTGCTCGTGGCTGAACACAACAGCTTCATTTCAAATACTTTGAACTGGGCCATTCATATCTTATAATTTATTTCGAGCCATATATAAATTTCTAATTAAAAACGCGTTAGTATGCATATTAGAATAATGCTACGTAAATATATGTGTAAAAATGAATGAAATGTAAATATCTCTATATAAGTGGGTAATACTTAATAAGCCTTTTGTTTACAGTCCTTATTAAAGGAAACCAAGACGAATATCAGTACACAATAACGCCATATATGGAAGCATTCTTCCTCAATTTATGACTTCGTACTACTGAAACTTAATGAACAAAACTACAAAGAACATTAGGTTAGAATAATTCGCAGGCACTAGCAGATTTCTTACTCAATTTCATTACTACATGATGGTAATTCTTAGTGAAGAAAGTAAAAAATATCATGTTGAAAGGAAAACTTGCATAAAATTTCCGATTAAATATCAGAGACACCATCGAACACAGATTCTAACATTTGAACCATACAATATCCATCACGATTTTAGCACACAAGTGCAATTATCCTGACATTAGCACACTACTGCAGGTATCATGAACTTAGCACATAAGCGCACGTAGCCTAACCTTATTATACAAGTGTAAGTATCCTCACCTTATCACACATGTTCAGGTATCCCGTCCTTGGCACACAAATGCCTCTTCTGCTCTAAGCACACTAGTGCAATTATCCTAATTTTAGCACACTAGTGCAAGTATTCTGAACTTACCACTCTACTGCAGGTATCCTGAACTTAGCACATTACTGCAGATATCGTGATATAAGCACATAAGTGCACGTAGCCTAACTTTATTTACAAGTGTAAGTATCCTCACCTTATCACACATGTTCAGGTATCCCGTCCTTGGCACACAAATGCCTCTTCTGCTCTAAGCACACTAGTGCAATTATCCTAATTTTAGCACACTAGTGCAAGTATCCTGAACTTAGCACATTAATGCAAGTATCCTGACCTTAGCACACAGGTCCAAGTATCCTGGCCTAAGCACACTAGTGCAAGTATTCTGGCCATTGCACACTAGTGCAAGTATCCTGAACTTAGCACATTAATGCAAGTATCCTGACCTTAGCACACAGGTCCAAGTATCCTGGCCTAAGCACACTAGTGCAAGTATTCTGGCCATTGCACACTAGTGCAAGTATCCTGAACCTATAACAATAAAGCAGGTATCCTGACTTTGGCACACAAGAGCAGGTATGCTGACAATGGTAGCACTAGTAGATACATTCGTACTTTGGCACACAAGTCTAGATCCTGATTGTGGCACTAAGTGCAGGTATCCTGACCCTAGCACACTAGTGCAACTATCCTGACAGAGCACACTAGTGCAATTATAATGTCTTTTCACAAATATGCAAGTATCCTGAGATTACAACACAACTGTAGGTATCCTCACCTTACATCACAAGTGCAATTTTCCTGACATTAAAGCAAAAGTGCAAATATCTTATATTAACATAAATATGCAAGTATCCTCGGCCATGCACACTAGTGCAACTATCCTGACAGAGCACACTAGTGCAATTATAATGTCTTTTCACAAATATGCAAGTATCCTGAGATTACAACACAACTGTAGGTAACCTCACCTTAGATCACAAGTGCAATTTTCCTGACATTAACGCAAAAGTGCAAACATCTTATCTTAACATAAATATGCAAGTATCCTGACATTACAACACAACTGTAGGTATCATCACCTTAGATCAGAAGTGCAAGTTTCCTGACATTAACGC